GTGGCAGGCTGAGGACTGCCTGTCTCTCCAGCTCGAGGATGCAATGGCTTTCTACGCTCAAGTGCGCTTACCACACACTGACACACACGCGTGCACATAATAAAAATGAAACCAGATCTTTGTTTAGTTTTGTTCTCTTTTTTTTTAGTTTATTTGGTTTTATTGTTGTTGTTTGGGTTTTGTTGTTTGAGGTAAGTTTTTACTAGATAGTGCTGGCTGACCTGGGATTCTCTCTATAGACCACACTGGTCTTGAACTTATAGAAATCCACCTGCCTCTGTGTTCCAAGTGCTGAGATCAAAGGTATTTAAGCTACGGCCAGCTTTAAAAATATTTTTTAGAAGAATATAGAGAGCTGGCGAAATGGCTTGATGTTTGAGCACTTGCTGGGTTCAAGTCCAAATACCCACGTGGCAAATTGCCTAGAACTCCAGCTCCAGGGGATTTGATGGTCTCTTTTGGCCTCCACCGGTATCAGGCACACATGCAGTGCACATATATACACGCAGGTAAAACATTCATACACATAAAAAAAAAATAAACGTTTTAGCTGGGCAGTGGTGGCACACACATTTAATCCTAGCACTCGGGAGGAATAGGCCTCTTGAACTCTGAGTTCAAGACCAGCCTGGTCTACAAAGCGAGTGCCAGGACAGGTTCCAAAGCTACACAGAGAAACACTGTCTCAAAAAACAAACAAACAAACAAAAATTAAAAAGAATATGGAGAATTTCTACTGAAATGAGTCTGGAAAAGTCACACAGGCATGCAGGAATGTGATAGAGAGCCCTGTGTCTAGTGTATGAACACAATTCTTCAAAGGCTTGGGTATCAAGCTAGGGATTTTCAAAGTCATGGCTTAGCAAATAATGTTATTAAATTATAAAAGCTTGCTTTAGCCTATATTATTGTCATGGTTACTATTCCAATGACTAAATGTTAATTTGTTTTACATTATTTCTGAAGTTATGCCTTTGGGGCACTCGACACTCTACTAATGAACGAATCCCCAATCATTAGTGTAGGAGCTCCTGCTCTCATTTCATCAGCGCTTCTGCAAATGACCAGTTCTCCTAACTGCCACCGCCTTGCTTCCTGCAGACTCCTCCTTCCAGGGCTCTGAAGCCCTCTGCAATGTGCATATGAAGTCTCTCCTCCTGCTAGGGCCCTTACATCTGTGCCAGGCCACCGTTTATAAGGGCTTCCTCTTTCCACCTCCCTGAGACTCTGCCATCCTGGATGGGCTACCAGTTCCTTCTCTATCTCATACCACAGGACACCCATTTTGCTGGCTCCCACTCTAATAGGTTTTATTATTATTATTATTATTATTATTCATTGCTATTTTATTTTATTATATTGAATTTCCCAGGCAGTGAATAATTGAATGGAAGGGAGCATGAGAAGGAAAGAAGAAAGAAAAGAGTATTTCTTTTTTTCTTTTTTTTTTTATTTTTTGAGACAGGATTTCTCTGTAGCTTTGGAGCCTGTTCTGGAAACTAGCTCTTGTAGACCAGGCTGGCATCAAACTCACAGAAATCTGCCTGCCTCTGCCTCCCGAGTGCTGGGATTAAAGGCATGCGCCACCACCACCCGGCTAAGTCTTTCTATTTTTTTAAAAAAGTTTTCTTTAGCTGCATTCCCTTTTTGTACCCGAATCATTTGTATGTTTAATTCAGAATTTTTCTCATGGTAGTTTCCCAGAAATGGAATTACTAGATCTAATTTTATGAACCAACTTCTCTGAAGTTTTAGCTCAGCCAACAACATAACAAACTTGACATCTCTTTTCCGGGGAGTAGCTTTGAGTATGATATCTATTTCTAAGAGAACTTGTAAACGTTCAGACGAAAGTGGAATATTGTCTTCTGTTGCCCTTATAGCTAGTGAGACTGGATAGTTTTCTATTTGTCTATTAAGCCATTTTTAGCTTCTCATTTATAAATTATCTACTTTGATTGCTTGTGAAGTTAGGTATTTTCCTACTTAAAGTCATTTTTAATTTATTGGTTACAACTTGCCTATTTGTTCATTCACATTTTAGAATTTCTAAAATTGTTGGCACACTGTTGATGTAAACACTTAGAATACATTTACCATAAATAAGAACGATTAGATTTTAAATACATTTAGTTTCCTCTGGTAACTCCGCATTTCTCTTCAGCTTTCTCTGTTTATAAAATCTCAGATAAATGCAAATTATGAGTGATGTTACTCAAAGAAAACATGTTTTTAACCTCTCCATATCTTCCTATCACCCCAGTCCCCATATCTGTGTTTTAAACTCTTCTCTTGTTTTGCATTGTTATGGGATAAACACATGTGTCCCTCCCAAATTCGTGTCTCCAAGTCCTAGCACCTGATGCACTGCTGTTAAGAGGTGGAGTCTTGCTGGGCCTGGTGGTGCATGCCCTTAAAGACAGTGCTTGGGAGACAGAGGCTGGTGGATCTGTGAGACCAGCCTGGTCTGCATAGTGAGTTTCAGGGCAGCCAGAATTACATAGAGAGGTCCTGACTTAAACAAAAAGAGGTGGAGCCTTTTATTAGTGATTAGGTCAAGAAGGTGAGGATCTTGGGGACGCTAGAACTCTCTCACTGCCTGCCTTCCTGCCATTGGAGGACACAATAGTTTAAGTCAGTAGACTGCGATCCAGAGCAGGGCCCTTCTGGAGCTCAGAATAATATTAACATATTAGCCTCCTGACTTCTTTTCTGTGTTTGAAAGAGTTTGAAGTTTTGCAACAGGGTTATTCTGTTAGCTCCTTCTGCTGCCTTTTATGTGAAATACTTTCTTTCTTAATTTTATATATTTTATAATCCTGCACTGATATTTTAGGGAACTTTATCTGGGGGGGCAACTTAGACTTAAATGACTTTTCTAGAAAGAACCTACCTGCACATGTTCCCCATGGTTCTCCCTGAGCAATTTGTCAATCAGGGCATGTCTCAGCTCCCTGGGAACTAGCCCAACCTTAGATTATTTTAAACTAAATTCTAGGTCTGAAGGTTTAAGGCAATGGTTCTCAACTTTGCTAACATTAAGACTCTTTAATACAGTTCCTCATGTTGTGCTGATCTCAACCATAAAATTACTTTCAGTTCTACTTCATAACTGTAATTTTGCTACCGTTATCAATCATAACGTAAATATCTGTGTTTTCCGATGGTCTTGGGTGGCTCCTGTGAAAGGGTTGTTTGACTCCCAAAGGGGCTGTAGTTATGGCTTAAATAGAATGCTGCAGGCCTCTGAGTGGCTGCAGCTGGCAGCAGGTCCCAAGACCATGCCACAGGTCCCCAAAGTGGCAACAGGCAGCTGGCAGCGGGACCCGAGAGCAGCCAGTCCCAGACAGGCAGGGATGGTGCAGTTCCCCAAGTGGCTGCAGTGGGCCATGAGGGGCAGCGAGTCCCAGGCAGGGAGCAGCATGGTGGGTGAAAGGCCTCAACAGGGCAGGGAGTCTCATAAGGAGAGACAGATAGATGGGCATGCCACAAGACCATGCTGAAGGTGGCTGGTCCTGGGCAGGGAGCCACGGGGTGGGTGAGAGACAGAGACATGGATAGGTATGCCATGCAGAGTAAGGTTGGATATTTATTTAGTGAGTATGAAGGGGAAAAGGGGAGAAGAGGAGGGAGAGAGAGAGAGAGAAAGAGGGGGGGAATGGAAGAAGTGGGGAGAAGGGAGATACAGAAGCTGCATCTTCAAGAGAGACAGAAAAGAAAGGATTCAGGCTGGTGGGAATGGGTCTGGCTTTTCTCTTAAAAGGACAGGACAGACCATTACAGTCATGACTCACGGATTGAGAACCACTGGTTTAGGGGATGAACACCTTTTTGACACTTATTTAAAACTACAAATTCTCTGTTTCTGGAAAATTAAAAACAGCAAAATAAAAACACTAACTTAAAATTTTTTTTTTAAAAAAATGTCTCACTGCATAGCCCTGGCTAGCCTGGAACACACTATGTAGACCAGACTGGCCTCACCCAGGAATCTGCCTACCTGGAACTAACTATGCAGACCAGGCTAGCCTCACACAGGAATCTACCTACGTCTAAGGAGATTAAGAGCATGGGATATTTGTACACTGTGTGAAGATATATTGCTGCAACCAATAGCTAGGCAGGAGGTATAGGTGGGACTTCCAGGCAGTAGCCAATAGCTAGGCAGGAGGTATAGATGGGACTTCCAGGTAGTAGCCAATAACTAGTCAGGAGGTATAGGTGGGACTTCCAGGCAGTAGCCAATAGCTAGGCAGGAGGTATAGACGGGACTTCGGGGCAGAAAGAGCAGAAGTAGGAGATGAATCTAGGTACACAACAGATGCCAGGATGGGTTGATTTAAGTTATAAGAGCTAGTTAAAAACAAGTCTACGCTGAGGTCAGGTTTTCATAATTAGTAAGAAGTCTCCGTGCAGTTATTTGTGAGCTAATGTTATGCCCAGATCACTGAGTCCTCCCTGCCCAAACCAACTAGAAGACTAAGTCCTGTATGTAAAAGCAAAGAGCCTTTATTTTCACACAAGTCTGCAAACTCGGACTCTCCATGTATTGAAAGTATCGGAATGATCAGAGAGTCCTGAGCTCAGTTAGGGTTAGGTTTTCATAGTAGCAAAGGTGGGGGTGAGGGATTTCTAAGGTTCAGAATGCCAGATTAGCTGACATTTGTCTAGGGGTGTCCTGGTGAAAAGCAGTGGGTGTGTGCTGGCTGGTGGTCCTATCTACAACAGTTGGAACATTTGGAATTTCCTTTGGATGGTCTGTTTCTGGGTGGTGCCTGAGTATTCTCAGTTTGTGGTCTTTATTGGGTCTTTATTGCCTTAGGGTAAATGACTGAGACTCAGGCCTCTATGGAGCTTGTCACAGCTGGGTCCAACACTGGCAGCCCAAAGAAAAATCTGACCACACAGGTAAACCAAACCCAAAACCAAATAACGCTTAGTTCTTTTTTTTGACAAATAAAAAATTTTTAAATTAAAATAAGTAAAATGGATGACCCTGATAATGGAAGATCACTTTTTTATTTTTATCAAAATTAGAATCATTGTTTAAACATAGAAGTTCTTCCTGTGGCTCTATGTTCTCCATGGCCATACTGAAGGAAGACAAGTCAGGTGCCTGGAGATGTCCCTCCCAATGACAAGTTTGTCCCGAGCCCAGCATCTGCCTTCTCCTGAGGATCCTCTCCCTCACACTGCACTCTTATACCCCCAACAACGGAAACAGATGCAGGCTTCACAGAGCTTTGTCAGGCTTTGGGGAGGTCCTGTAGAACATGGCATCCTCGAGAAAAATGGGCAGGTAGCTCACAGGGATGAAGAAGAGCTTGGCATCCCAACCAGCTGAGAATCGAGTCTGGGAGTGACAGGAAGTCAGCACATGCTCCACGCAGTCCGTCACCAAGGAGAGGTCCTCTTTGCACATTTTGTCCAATAACTTTAGCCCTGTCAGATAAGATAACAAAAACTTCTCATCATAGATCTTTTTGACTTCTTAGCTGGCCTGGTCTCACTGCATCTTGACATGTGACGAGTGCCTGTCACTACTGGAAATACCAGTTTGGAAGAAACCAGGCTCGACGATAGCCACCTTCACTCCAAAATAGGAGAGCTCCCTCCTGAGGGAGTCTGAGAAGGCCTCTCCATCATACTTAGAGGTGCAGTAACCACCATCAAACAAAGACACTTGACCCAAGACACTGGAAATGTTGACCACTCGGCCCTTTGCCTTCCTCACTAAGGGCAGCATGCTCAGAGTTACCTTGATCATGCCCAACAGGTTCATATCCAGTATCTTTGCAAAATCCTCTTTGTTCATCCACTCATTGGGACCCAAGGGGATGGAGATGCCAGCATTGTTGACCAGGCCCCAGAGTCCTGCTATCAGTGAGGCATTCTCATCTTGCTTCCTCTGCCTCTGGGTGATGGCTGCAGAGTCAATGCTTAGTTCTTCATGGGTTCTGATAAGAGCCTGCAACTGTGTGTAGTCAGTTTCATTGCTCCAGTTATTTATCTGGGTCTCCATTTCAATTTAGTTTGTTCTGTTCTGTGATGCATTTTAAAAAGATGTTTTGCATATTCTAAGTGGAATTTTGGTGACTTTCAGCAGGTGGCTTGGGCAGGATATATAATCACCATCTTGTCGGAAATAGATTCTGATGTGAGCTGAATTATGCTCCCCCACCACCAATTCATATGCTGAAGCTCTAGCTCCTGGTGTCTAAGGATGGGAGGGTAATTAGAGACAGGAAAGTAGCTATGAAGGTAAAATGAAATCATCGGGTGCACTTGATCCAACAGGATTGATGTATTCATAGGAAAATTAGGATGCATGTGGGAACAGAGGGCCAATCCTGTGGACAGGCATGGGTTAGATGGCATCTCTTCCATGCCTTGGTTAAAACTGAAGTTCATGAGAGCAGGAGAAAGGGAAATGGTAAAATCCAGAACTAGGGAGGGGAACTTGACGTCCACTTCTAGCTAAGAATGAGGGCACCAGGGGATGGAAAAAGAGGTGCTCTTGGGTTTTCTGCAATGGCAAGATAACGTCCAGGCCTTGGGGAAAGCTTGGGTACTGCTGAGCACTTTGGGGGCTTTCCCAGGTCACCACCAGCTTGCAGCTCTTCATGTGTAGATGACAGGGTGCTGTGATGGGAGTGCTGTGATTTTCTACCTTCACACTCACACACTTCCTTAACCCTGCTGGCATCAAATTCTTTTTTTGAATAAAGATCAAGTCTTCTGCCTCACAATTTGGGCCAAGCTGCTAATAATCCTTGATTCCCAGCCCCCTCCCCATCTACCAAATTATCCCTTTAATGGGTCAAACTGCTCACAATGCCACAGAGTTCAAAGCTTTCTGAGGAAATTCCTGGTTGTGGAATTCACTGAGACTCTCACTGTACCCACATGTGTGTGTTTCTCAGAGAGAGAACCAGTTACTAATAAGAAACCGTCAGCAGTTTGAGAATGAGGGTGTATATTGTGGAATATCTGTTTACACTGTAAAGGTGTGTCTACCTATGACGCCTTCTGATTGGTTTAATAAAGAGCTAAATGGCCAATAGCTAGGCAGGACTTCCAGGCAGAGAGAGAGAGAGAGAGAGAGAGAGAGAGAGAGAGAGAGAGACACTCTGGAAGGAGGAATCTAGACCTGCAATTTCACCAGCAGACTCGGAGCAAGTAGGATGTACCGTGCTAAGAAGAAGTAACAGAGGCACGTGGCAGAGTAGATTAAAAAATATAGGTAAGAGCTAGTTAGAAACAAGCCTAAGCTAAGGCCAAGCTTTCATAATTAATAATAAGTCTCCAAGTTGGGCTGGAGAGATGGCTCAGATGTTAAGAGCACCGGCTGCTTTTCCAAAGGTCCTGAGTTCAATTCCCAGCAACGACATGGTGGCTCACAATCATCTGTAATGAGATCTGGTGCCCTCTTCTGAACTGCAGGCATCCATGCAGGCAGAACACTGTATACGTAATAAATAAATAATCTTTAAAAATAGGTCTCCAGGTAATTATTTGCAGACTGGCAGCCCAACAGGAAGCTTGTTGCAGATGTAGGCATCCAGGGGCAGGAGCCTGGGGAAACAGAACAGGAGAGAGCAGCCTGGGTTCTTTCACCCTCTTTGGACCTCTTTACTTTCCATGTTTGGTGAAACAGGAATGTGGGGGAGCATTTTTAATTTAATTTTAGTTTTTGTGGTTGTCCTGAAATTCACTATGCAGACCAGACTGGCCTTGAACTCACAGAGATCCACCTACATCTGCCTCCAGAGTGCTGGGATTAAAGTCTTGTAACAACAGGACCAATTGAGAAGTATTTTCGAGCAGGCATTTTAGGACCCATGGTTCTGCCCAGGTCATGAAGTAGAATTTATGATGCTGATTTTGTTCCCCTGTTCCCCTGTGCATGCCACGCACAACATCAATAAAGCTAATTTCCCTTAGAGTTTAGTGAATCTATGTCTCACAGAATGATTACAATTAATCTCTCCAATTTCTCTGATTTATTCACTTCTTTTCTTACAAGTCAGCAGTGCATATTTGGTATGATTTTCCCTTCCTCCCTCCCTCCCTCCTTCCCTCCCTCCTTCCCTCCCTCTTTCCCTCCCTTCCTCCCTCCCTCCCTCCTTCTTTCCTTTCATCACAGCTTCTCTTTGTGAAACTCAAGGCTTGTAGGGACATAGAAGAAGAATAAGAAATTCACACCAGCTGTTGCCCCGCCCCCATCGTTTGGAAAGACATCACTTCTGCCTCTGGTACCCTGAATAGAGTTCATCAAAAGGCTCCAGCTTAGCTTTAAGGGAGGCTGCAGGAGTCTTCATTTGTGCCCTGGAAGGAGAGAATAAGCCATATGAAAAATCCCTAGGGAAAACTTACCACTTTTCAATGTCCCTTCCTGCCCAGCACCCACATGCCCAACAGTCCCCACACTTCCAGCTCATTCACTGTAGGTATCTACCTCAGTTAGGAAGACTGTTCCAGAGGGAACTCGCTGGTGCAGGTTAGGGACCAAGAGAGAAGGGTTGGGTAGGGGAAATGATGTACAGGATGGAGCTAGGGAAGATTTCTGCTGAGAGAGAAGCCAGCAATAATCAACTGTCCTTTCCCAAAACCTATTTGCCATCTGGCTGTGCCAGGACGTGACAGATGGCACAGAAGAGTTCTCCATCTGGCCCCGTCTCTGCCTAACAAGGGCAATGGTGCAGATCTCCTCAATGAGTGTTATTTTCCTCACCTTTTCGGAGGTATGACTACCACACTCTCTACACTGAAGGTCTATCACGTGATGATGTAACACATTTGTATTTTGGGAGATGATTGCCACAGGCAAATTAGCATGTCCATTGTGGTGTGTGTGTGTCAAAAACATGAAAGATCTGTTCTCTTAGCAAATCCACATATGTGTTACTATCAATTATAGTCACCATATATGCATACATCTAATGCATATGTCTAATACATAATACTGTGATTAGGGACCCATCATCCACTCACCCCACAGGAAGGAAACCCTAGCTGCACCACACCCTGCTTCCCCACCCCCTGACATTTGTAGCCACCTACAAAGGGTTTTCTATGAGGAGCTTCTCTGAGACTAATTTTTCAGATTTCAGATGTGACATCACACAGTATTTTTATTTTTGTGACTCATGAACAGAATGTCCTCCAGGGATGTCCAGGTTGTTGTGAAGGGCAGATTTTCCTTGCTGTTTATTTTGGGCTGTCCTGAGACTCATTATGTAGCCCAGGCTAGCCCTGAAGACACAATCCTCCGGAACTGTGACCTCCCCAAATCTAGAATTTCAGGGGTGAGGCATTATGCCAGACTTTCTCCCTTTTAAAGGATATAAAGAAAAGATTTTTTTAACTGAAGTAAAAAAAAAATTATCATGTGTCTATATATGGATGTGACATTTTCTTGTATTTGTTTGTCAATGGATATTTAGGTTGTGTCGATTCTTAGCTATTGTGAGCAATGATGGATTCAATAAGTGAGTGCAGATACTCTTCAAGATAGTGACATCAGGGCTGGGGAGATGGCTCAGTGGATCAGGGTACCTGTCACCAAGAAGGCAACCTGACTTCCACCCCTAGGGACCTGCAACTCCCAAAAGTTGTCCTCTGACTACCACATACACACCATGGTATGTGAGTACCCACGCACATATACAAAAAGTAAAGTGAAACGATTTTTTTAAGATGGCGATTTCATTACCTTTGAATATCCACACCAAAGTGGGACTGACGGGCCACACAGTAATTCTAATTTTATTATGTTTTCTCTACATTTCCCGCAGTGGCTGCAGGGTCATTCCCATCAGTGGTGTGCTTTCTCTCAGCATCCTAATCAACCACGCTAGCCTTTGAGTCTCGGTTGCTTTTCCTTTCTTTCCTTTTTCTCTGAGGGAGGGAGTCCTGGGGATTGAACCTAAGCACACACGCGTGGGTTGATACTCTACCTCTCTACTGTAGCACCACCCTTAGCGGAGTGTCTTCCTAAGGAGGGAGGTCTGAGTTCTATGCAGTCACCAAGAGAACAGGACGGTTTTTGAAACAGTGAGATTTATTCTCAGAGGTCTGTGGACTTTCTGTTTAACTGTTTCCAAAATATCTGATGCAGCTTTAGGACTCCCTGCCCAACCCCAGCTCTGTCTCCTTCCCAGGCCCCCCCCCCCACTTCACTGGTGCACTTATTGACATTCAGGGCGCACACTCTCTCGTGCAAAGTCGGTTTGAATCAGTTTCCAAAGTTTCACCCCCTCTCCCCATGTGAAACCTTCCTCAGCTCTGGTGGAGCCCAGTGATGATTCATGGGCTACATGCCTGCCATAACTTGTGGTTATACAAGCATTTACTAGTTAACCATTTAATCTAGATGTAGTTTATGAGCAAAGTTTTAATTAGGCAATTAATTCTATTAGAGGTTTGGGGCTTATATTCCCTACGCAAAAATATTCTTGTGCTTTCTTATGACTTAATGCCTCCTGATATAGTTTAATACCACAGTATCCATCTCTACTGCTCCAAAATAATAGAATTTCTTGTTCATAATTCAGCCCTTATTCTCACACTGTGTGAACATATTTGGTGACCGCAAATGGGGGAACAATATTAACCAGTCAGCTTCTCTGGAACTAGAAGACTTGTTGAAACATCCAAGCATATTTGATTCTAAGATCCGAGAAACATTCTCTGGGCTCTTATCTCAGGCAGATGCTTTAGATAGTTTCCATATACAGTTTAATATAAAAAGAAAGTTATGGGAAAAAATAGGGCCAGCAGGTTTGACCATCTGGTAAAGGTCTTGCCTCCAGGACTACTGACCTGAATTTGATCCCCAAAAACGAAAATAGAGAAAAGATTTTAGCAAGTTGGCCTCTGACTGTCAAACATGTATCATAGCATACAGGTACTCACACATATACACAACATAAATGCATGAATGTTTTAGTTTCTCGAGACAGGGTTTCTCTGTTTAACAGCTCTGGCTGTCTTAAGACTCACTTTGTAGACCAGGTTGGCCTCAAACTCAGAGATCTGCCTGCCTCTGCCTCCCGAGTGCTGGGATTAAAGGTGTGCACCACCGCTTGACTAGATGAATGTTTTTCCAAAAGAGAAAGTTATGCTGCATAGTTGCCTAGCACAAGTTAGGCCCTGAGTTCAATCTCTAGCAATTACAATTTATTGTTCCTATTCTTATATAGTGTTGTTATTTTATTAAATATTATATAAATTATTAAATATATTAGCATTTATCATTATGATCACAATTATTTATTGTAAATAGAATAATTCGGGAGGTCTCTGCAAACACCACAGGTAGCAGTGCCAGTCTGTTCAAGTCAAGAAGGCTGTTCTGTTCAACACATCCCAGTAGCTGGTGCTGGTTCAAACTTCGAGAATCTGACCCTGAGTGGGTTCTTTTAGGTATATTGAAGCACAGCACAATTTGGTGAAAAAATTTCATGGCGATATTAACTCAATCCAGTATTCACGACAATGCTTAGGACATGGCTACTTCAAAACTCTTTGTAAAGTACAAGTGACCTCTTCCGTAAAAGTGAACTCTATAGATTAGCTGAGACAAACAAGCTCAAGATAGACTTCGAGGGGTGGCTCCAGTGTGGTCTGGGCTGCACAGATAGCACACGGGTCAGCAAGTTATTGACTACATCCGTTCCCAGACTTGAGGTGGGGGGAGCAGGTTATACATTTTTCCCTTTGACAAAACGACCTGTGTGTTTAACATTACCTGTTCCCCTGATGCTTATCTGTGAACACAAGAACCTCCGTGCTTCCTACAAAATAATAAAAAGAAAATTATGAAAGGTCTCTAAATCTGAAGTAAAATGTGTGTCATCCACCAATTAATCTTTCAACACCGCAGGCTCTGGGGTCTGGTGGCTTCCCTGTCACCCAGAACTAGAGAGAGGGCTCGCACCTCAGGATTCTCAAACTGCTGCTCCGACCACAAGACCACACTTCCTTCCTGTAGCAACTGCGATGCAGAGAGAATATAAAGTGTACACAGCCACTGCGGTTGTGAGGAAGAAGAGAGAGAGGAAAGGGCGGCACTACTGCTCAAAGGTACAAAATAAAATCTGAATTTAGATTGCTTTTGGAAGAAATTGCTCTGCAAATTTAATGGGCAGCTCTTAATTCATAATCTGAAAGGATGAAGCAATTTATTAAAAGCCAATCACCAGGGGCCTCTCAGCTGGCAATGGTGCTTGCCATACAACTACTGACTGCTGAACTGGATCCCTAAGACCTCTGTGAATGTGAGAGGATGGCAATGACTTCACAAATTATTCCCT